ACACACACACACACACACACACACACACACACACACACACACACACACACACACACACACATTAAAATTGTGTACAGAGGGCCTTATGACAGCTCGTAAAGATGTATGCTATTACATGTATACTGTTGTTGTTGGCAGCAATATTATGGGAAATTCCCTTCACATAAAGAACAATAAAACAAGAATTAAGTGATACAAAGTTAAGATATAAATATATCATTATAATAATAATGTCATTATTTTCAGCCCTGAAAGGCGGGGTGCTAAACGTCCCCAGAAACAAAGCCAGACTGGATGGAGGTGTAGTCCTCTCTACATCTCTGCTCTCTTATCTCAGCTTTATTTATGTAGAACTTTATATACAAGACAAAGCAGAGTGAAAAGACAACGAGCAGCAGGAAATAAGAACTGAGAGGATAAATAAATTATCAGACCAACAATAATTACAGAGACATCATTACAAGCAACAATGTGATAAACTGTATAAAGAAATCTGTAGAGCATTGTTTTTAGTTAATATTGAATGGAGGATGTCAGGAAATCATTACAGATGCTTCCTCTATATTTTGATTTTATGTTAGTCAGTTTTCCAAATTCACAAAATCATGCTCATTATATTCTATAAAAAAAGGTCTTGTTCTTTATTTTTAATTACTACTTAATTACCTTTAATTACCTACTTTTAGTTTTTAGTTTAGTTTTAACTATAATAACTCTGCCTGTAACCATATCTCAACACCTTATTACATAGCTAACCTCTGCTGAGTTTACCAAACAGCCCTGACTGCACATGAAAACAAATAATAACAAAATATTTAGTTTTAGAGACTTTAGATGATGCTGACTTACCTGTTTCGGATATTTGTCCTTATCTGATTTGCAAGTCCTGCGAGCCGGTTTAAGTCTATTTCAGCCAAACTTCCAGCAGACAGACAGAAGACCATCGTCACAGTGATCCACCAGAGACCAGCCATCTGCACTCAGAGTTTCATAACAGATATTGTTAATAAGAGGTCATTTCCACTGAGGCCGTTTCTCATATCAGCTTTTCTTCATTCATTTGCCCATGATTTGCACTGACAGGTGTCCACATCTGGAGCTGGATGTGAGACACTTTAAATGTCAGACTAAAGTTAAGTTATTTAAAATAGAATAAAATACTTTGAATAAAACTCAAATGTGGTCACTACTCACCTTTGCTTTTTTGTGTTTGTCCCCAAAATAATTCAGTTTTAGTGGAAAACCAGTGTTTGGAAATGATCAACAAATATCCTAAAAACATTGCACACATGTGAAAAACTTACACTGTTTAAATAGCAAAACTAAATTGATCTTTCTTAAGTGTCTCTTACCTGCAGTCAGGTTTCAGGGCAGGATTACTCAGATATCTGTTTCTCACAGGCAACGAGACATCTGAAACACTCCTGTCTGTGTCTGACCAACATACCGTTATCTTAAGAGCCAATTACTGCAGAGCATCCATCCGGCAGGTGTAACTTAACACTGGCGTGTGTTGATTGGTCCAAAAAACTTAACAATGGGCGGTACCTCAGCAAAGGTGCAAAACAGGTTGATCTGGGCGGCCTAAAGCACTCCAACAAAGGGCATAAAATGATGAGGACACAAGGCATGAGATAAAGCAATTGGAGAAGGAGCTGCCTCCTCCTGCTGCTGCTGCAGAGACAGGGCATACATGTCAGTCAGAGATTTACACATTTTCTCACTCTGCCACACAAACATCTCATATTTCACCTGAAAAACAAATTCATCAGTCATAGTTATTCAGAGAAAACTGTCACAGGACCCAGAGGCCAGCGCGAGAGATGGACCCAAGTTCGGATACCAAAACAGACACAGATTTAAGTTTTATTGTGACAGAAACAGAGCACAATTTATTAAATGAGTGAAACGGGGAATAACACAGGCGATGCCAATGATTATTCTCTGGCTGTAGTAGCATTTCACGACACAGGCTTGGAACAAGAGCAGACGGGGCGGGAGACTCTGTAACATAAAAGGGAGAATGTAACTGGAGGGAAAAGTCCTTCAGAAAATGGGAGGTAGATTAAGAAGAGAGCTTAATGATAGTACAGCGAATTCTGGCTTTTTACAATTTATTATCAAAACCAGCCTTGTTTAACATGGCACCATGAACCTTTGGCTTGCTGACTCAGAGACAAAGGCTGCTGCAACCAGGCAGGAAACACTTTTCTATTGCAGGTCACAGAAGCTGAATGTTAACATGATTGGTCGAAAGAGTTGAGGGTGGCCTTATGTCTGATACCAGCTAATGTTTCTTCCTCTGCACCTCTCTGGACATCCCCTTATATGGAGATGATCCTTCTGCACTCCCGTTGCCAAGGCACCCACCTCTTGTCCTCCAGTTAGGCCTGTTGAGTTAAAGAAAGGGTGCACTGTGAGCTGCTCAGAATAGATAAATTTATCAGTGAACAGTTTAATCATCTGAAGAATTCAAAGTAATTCAAATTTTTATTTGCACTGCAGCTTTGGCCTGACAGTAGCAGTTAGAAGCCCACGCTTCATGTTCCTCCTTTATAATGATGGAGTATTCAACGACAGCACACCCCAGCATGTCTAATCATTTTCTGTTTTCATGACTCTGTGGGTTCTGCAACCTGGCACCTGTCACAAAAGCTGACCCTGTGCCAACAATAAAACAGAGCCATCAGATCACCTCACTGAAGGAGTCAGGGGTTTATCTTTGTCCTCTTATTTAAATATTTAAAGCAATTGAATCAGGTAAAACAAAAGAAACCACAATGTTATCAAAATAATCTGATAAGCATTATAATATAATATAATATAATATAATATAATATAATATAATATAATA